TTTCATGTTAGTGTTGTTTTTTCCCTTTAGAGGGTCGTGGTCATTTTTCCCCACGATGACCAGTCGGCTTGGGGAAGTATGTTGTTTTGTTATTCTATGTTGGTTCATGTTGAGCTGTTTCCGTTTACCGACAGTTAATTGTTATTCTTTGTTACTTGTTGTCTTAGTAGAAATAGAGGAAAGAGAATTAGCTCTAGTCCTCATTAAGTCGAAAGCATTTGGTTTATTGTTAATCGGTGGCATTAGAGTTTGTTGTTTCCTTGGTTGAGCATTGTTTTGTGGGGATGTTGATATCTCTCTTTTTCGTTTTTCATTATTTGTGTTATTAGTTTTTCCTTTTACTATTAGTTTGTCGAATTTTAAGTATGCGATATTTCCCTTTTCTCTCTCCTCTTTTAGCTGCGCCTGCAATGTTTTCCTTTTCTCTAAAACTTCCTTTGTGTAGTCTTCTGTAACATATACATTTTTGAGGCTTTTCTTCTTTTTCGTAACTTCATTTTTCTTCCATTCACTCACAAAGGAAAATAGTATTGGTCTTGGTTTTCCAGAAGACTTTTCCTTTCCTAGACGATAAATTTTGTTTATCTCATGTTCTTGGAATTGTATATCAAGGTCAGTTTTGAAAATGTTTATTATAATTTGTATTAATTCATGTGTAGACCTTTCGCCTTCATTTACTCCAAACATAATCAAATTGCTTTGCTTCTTTCCTCTTTTTAAAGTTTCTACTTCCTTTTCGAGATTTTCTACTTTTATTTTCAGGGTTTTATTTTCTATTATAATAGGTTGCAGTTTTTCATCTAATTTCTCCATTATATTGTTGGTTATTGAGTCTTTCAATTCTATTGTTTGGTTTAGGATTTCATTCTTCATTTTTTCAAATAATAGTTGAAACTGGTCCTCCATTTTTTTTTTTTTTTTTTTTTTTTTTTTTTTTTTTGTGCAACTAAATCTGCGTGTTATGGAAAGTAATTAGTAGTAGTTTTTCTTTTCTTGCTCTGGCAATACTAGTCCGCTGTTACTGTGACAGGTGTCGATGTCACTGTTCTTTTGTCTATGCTCAATATGATTGGCGAATTTCTACCCTCTAATTACTAATTATCACTTTTTCGGAAATACTTTGTTGCAGTTCAAGAACTTACGCGAAATTGCGTGAAATCAGTAGTTCCACTACACGGACGGCACTTCAGTTTGTGTTTTGTGGGGTCACTGTCTCAAAAATAGTGTACGGAATTATTTTTAACACTCAATAATGCGGAGCTACACAACTACGATGCTTACGCTTTGACAACCGGAAACGAAAACTATGTAATACTCCTATGCAAATATGTATGCGTTCCCGTTCATTCCTTCAAGTATACGTAATTATGTAAAATCTTCTTGAGCTAAGAAATCATCATAATCAACAGCATTTAGTAGTCCACTTCTGGACATAGTCCTCTCCTTAGAAAGGAGGTTGGGATAGGAGTTGTTTCAAGTTTGGGTCCGGATGTCTTAATAATAGCGGTTCCGGATTTCTCCTATTGCAGATGCAGAGTAGCACACCGTGTGGTTTTAGTCGGTCAGATCCCAACACACCAGCCCGCAAACCACAGTGGGGTGACGACGGCCCGAGCGGGTTTTCACACAAAAAAAAAAAAGGGTTTGTTTCAAGTTTCTTTTTGTAGTGATGTTATCCTTCAGAGTTTGCTCCTTTAGTAGGCTCTTACGACGCTACGATACAAATATATTTATTTAAAGAAATTGCTATATCTTTCGTAGTTAAATTAGATACACACACAGAACACAGTTTAATCTCACCATTAAATTTAAACATTATTCAGTTCATCGGATTACTGTATTCAGTATTCACTTGGGGTTACTACATTAAATATTCAACAGAAATCTTTGGCCCAAATAAGACTAGCTTTGGTTTGTTCAAAACTCAGTATATAAATGAGCGACCAAGGTTCTACAAAACTGACTACACGGTTTGACTGCACGGATGGCGTAGTGGTTTAAGCGGTCGCCACGCCGCTTACTGCTACGCTGAGTGTTGTGGGTCCGATCCCCACATGGGACGACACTTTGTGTGATCCACAAATTGTTGTTCTAAGTCTGGGTGTTCTTTGTGTCGGTTTCATGTATGTTTGTAAAGTCCCCCGCGACACAGGATATATTCCTAATGCATGAGTTGTCTTCTAAATAAAAAGAAAAGAAAAGACAAAAAGAGGGGTAGATTAGGCGAGTCTTTTGCTCTCCTGAGACCACACCGCCGAATTAACAATAGAGGCACGAAATACGAAATGGGTTGACATAGTTTTATGCCAATTTGAATAAGAAGTTATTCAGTACCCGTTTATAATATAAACTCTGAAACACTCTGATGATAGATAAATAATAAAGGTCGATAAAAAATAGTTTTAGGACAGCTGAATGCATCTGAATGATATTTGTCACTCAAATTAAAGAAAGTAATAAAATATATGGCTTTCTTTGAATATGGATAATATAGAACGATCGATCAATGAAAAAAGATCCTTCAACAATATAAGAAGAGCATCTTTGAGACAAATTTTCCTTTGAGGTCAGCTAAGTTAATGCAGCCGTAAACGGGGAGAGAATTAACACTACTTGGAATACTAATGACTCAAAATAATAGTTTATGTATAAGTTTAAAGCTAAAGTCTAGTATCTTAGTTAATGCTATCCGCTGAATGCAGCTTAATGTTAAAACTTGTTTGCTGGAGAATTTGCATTCCTGCCGCATTTCGAGCAAATTAATTCTAGTAGATTAAAGTTCACAACTTGCAAGATACAAGTAATATCGAATGTGAACTAAAAGCAAATTTCTTCTATATTAACTTTGTTTATTTCCATAAATGCCTGAATAAATTTTCCGCTACCATTATTGCGCAAATTTTGCCCACTATATTCACTCGTGAGTCCTGTAAGCGGGGATCAACAGCAATGACCTATAAAAACGTACACAAAAAATAATATTTTTAAACATTTGACACACCAAGCCATCTTGTTTCAAACTAAGCAGAGCTTGTACTGATAGAATACTTATAAACTTTTATGTAAACACATACAATACGAAAATTCCATAACCATGTTACAAGATGAAATAAAATCAATCAGTCCACAACTTTCAGCAGTTGTCTAAACGACGCAATTTCATATTGTCGTTAAGGTTTTGCTGTTAACTCAAATTAGGGTAATTTCGAATATTAAATGTGATCGTTCCAGAATCCGAACATTAGAGTAAAACTGAATTAAACTTACAGATCTGCATCTGGGCAGTTCCACTTATTTATCATTACGATATATTCGAGATTTTCGTCGTTTCGTTTTCACATTTTTGTTAATCATATTTTTAATCTTTTATCATTGCAGATTAAATTGCGTTCACGCTCATTTCTTTGATCTCAAAAATAATAAAGATTAATAACAGTATCTTTCTCATCCAAGGTAATCCCAAACTTTTTATCTCCCAACGCAGTCGACTGGATATTCCCTCGTCGCGTCGACGCTGTCCACTGTAATGAGTTCCGCCTTATCTTGTGAAATTAATGAACCATTCGGTAGCGAACTTTCTTTCTTGACTTTGTCTGATGAGGAAAAGCTATTCATCGTATAATACCATATCGGTTTTATATTCCAGCTGTCATCTTATTGACTTTAATACAAAAAAATCGACGCCCACTACAATTGAATAGCATTGTGGTCTGGCTTATCCTCACTAAAGTAACCGACGTGTGCTTCGGTGACGAAAAGCTTTAGGAACTTATTCCAGCACGAACGTTGCAAGCGAGCAGACGGGTCATCTGGTGGGAACTACGGAAGAGGGAGGGAGGGAATTTGAGCCTCCAATAACTTCACTCTCTCGGTAACAACGAAATAATTGATTAACACTGATTTCCTAAGGTCTTGCTATTACTCCGCTCAAGCTTGCCCATATATACCGAAGTTTGGATAGCCTACTACTTTTGATTAGCTGAGATAATATGTCAATCTAATTTAAGTATATTAGTCAAAACTGAAGTCATCCAACCATAAAACCAAACATTGATTGAGACAATGGTCATAAAAGTTATGTCAGCTTATACTGTATAAAGTAGTTGGCCAGACACTCGACATTTTCAAATAGTCTACTGAATGTATTGAAGTTGCCAAAAACTTTAATTTTAGGGGAAGATGTTGCCAAAAGGCCAGACATGTCTGGGTGTACCCATAAAGAAGATAAATGTGTCTGCTGAGTTAAGTATGCATTTAAAGTTTAATTTGTTAACATTTCCAAGTTATGTAAATATCTACACATCATTCAATTAATACGTTGACTTATGTCTATTCTACGCTTTTTAATGTTTTTTAGTCCAATAAATTTATATGATTTTGCCCACACCAGCCTATATTAAATGTCTTAAATATATGCCTTTCTCCAGGTCATATTTTTACTAGGTTAAATTCGCTATTAACTTTAAACATAACTTATCAACAATTATTACTATAATCAAAACCTAATAAAACACATATCGAAAGATTTTCGTAAACACTTCAACAACTATTATCCTCTTTAAGTAAATGTAGCCATTCAATGGATAATAAAACAAAGGTCTATAATAAAATATAATGTGACACTTAGTAAATGAACCTCTTAACGACTATACTTTGGTATGTAGACATTCTTATAAACCGTTAAGTACGCAAGAAGGAAACACTCCGCTTGGCATACGACCCAGGACCCATTATCAGCCCCTGTGAAACGCCTTATGGAATGTTCGAGTAGGTACTAGAAAATGCCAACGATTTCTTGGCTACACAACCACTTTAGACCTATCTATATGAATTAAATACTGCAATTATTTTCTTCAACATTAGAGAACCTCCTAAGTAAGCATCTCATAGGTGCTATAGATATCATAGGCTTAACTAAAGACGACAGGCCAGATAGTCACCTCATCTTCTTACAATATACACACACAGGATTTTCCAAACTGGCTGCATCTTCACCAAACTTATTCTAGAGTACTTACGTTTTCCTCGACCGTCTTCTTGATCTTCGCGGTGGTCTCGCTAACTTTGGCTCCAGCCTTGTTTACAGCGGAGTACAGGAAATTGCCCAGGGACTTGGCTCCGGCTACAGCCTTGGTCGTCACTGGATAAATGAAAAGAAGATTGATAGGAGATTAGATAGGACGGTTATTTTTTCTAGATATTTCTAGATTAATTATTAAAAATAGAGCCGTATTTTATTATTAAAGGAGATTGTCTTGAAATGGAAAAAAAAAGGTTTCCGTCAGTTTGAGTTTCAATCCTTTGGTAAACAACACCAATATAATGACAATCTCAGTGGCAATCTTAGTTCTTGAGACCCTTCCAAAATTAGTAGACTGTCCCCAAATAAATTATCCGTCGTAACCAATTAATTTTGTCGACATTTTTTTTATAAATTTTAATACAGGTTATAGTTATGGCAGAATTTTGCCAAAACTATAAACTGTATTATTCTGTGTTATTAGTTATACATTATTCTTAAAAAAACATTATATTGGCGTTAAAGATTGGGAAATTACGATCAAATAATTGCGGGTTCGAATTTCGATCCTACTTCTGATATATCGTGATATATCGCACCTACGTTATTCCTTCTTCAAAAAAAAATTAAATTTGTTTCACAGAATACAACAAAACATACAAACAAAAAAGAATTTTAAGCAACACTGCCGTGGCAAAATGACAATGTTTCAAACATTTAATGAAAATCACTACTGAAAAAGCACAATATCTGTAAATCCGCTTCTATCTCAAAACATTTTAAAACAAAAAAATAATACTAACACTCTCGCATGTCAGGTACTTCTAAAGCGTCAACATTGAAAAACTTTTTATGTTCGTCACCTGAAAATGTGCCACAAAAAAGCTACATAAACTAGCAAATAAAAAATGACAAAAAAATCTGTGGAGAATCTTACTAAAACTGAGGAATGGTATTAAAATATTTGTTGAAGTTCAGCGAAAGTGAGAAAATTTAGAAAAAAAAGAAAAAAGGTCCATACAAAATTTCCCTCCCTGTCTAACATTTGATGTTCGTCCCTTGCGTCAGTATGATAAAATCAGGTCCCCAAATTAAAGAAGGTATTAAATAAGGGTTTCGGATCGACAATACAAATTCACAGTATTCTGATTATTTCTGATTATCGCGTATTTAGATGCATTACCTAGGTGATATGAGGTTCACTGGGTCATTTAGTATTATATAAATTAATTACTCTAAGATCCTTTATACATATAATAAAGCTAAAAAGTGCCATTCCAATAAATTCTAAATTTAATCCCATTAAAAAGTCTAAGCTCAGTTTGATTCAAATGGTAGCCGGTTCCATTTTTTAATTACAATAGCATAATTCGAACCTGGCCAATTGAAATAACTGTTTGAAATTCGAATAAATAAATAAATATTAAAAACAGAGCATTATGAAAAATCTTACCATTATAGTACATTTTATTTTCTCATAAGACTATTGTACTATAAGAAGCAATACGCTGGTAGAGGACCATTCCCACATAATATTAATAAAAAAGGCCCAAAATAATGTAGTAGGTACATTAGAAGGCAACACCGGCCACAGATAAAAATATTCTCAGTAAATAAGAAGTCAACGAGGTCCGAAAAGTGACAAAACTGTTCCCGACAGCCGGACACAGTCCATAAATTGCGACCTCGAGATACTTTAGACTTCCTGTGAGCCCTTAAGGGACCATTGAGAAAAGAATAGGACGGGTTTGCCACACTTGAACTGTAATTTTACTTAAAGTAAGTAGATAAAAGAATTGTTTTTTGTTAATGGCAACAATTTTACCATGTAATCCTATTCTACTCTTGAGAAATAGGAATGTCCCGTTCCCAAAGCATGTCAATGGGTATGACCGAGGATGTGCCAGTAAAGGATAACACATAATGACAAATACATAAAAGCCGACTAATAACCATAAGTAAAGGACATTGACGATAATGATGGGAACAAATAATAAAATGATGTTTTAACGTATAGCATCTTACTACATTGATAGAAAGACTTATAAAAGCTTACCATTTCCAACGCCACCAGGTTGTTCCTCAGTAGGAGTACCTCCAGTAGACGCTGGCCTGCTGTCTGCACCACCAGTGGCGCTGCGTCCAACATATCAGATTCCATAAAGAAGAGTTATAATTTATAATTAAAAAATATATTTTTATATAACCAAGCAATATAGAAGGGGGCGTAAATATTAGGATTAAAAATGGTGATACTGTTCGAATCTATTAACTTAATTATCCACTCCATCCGTCAGTCGCCTAGGATAGAGAAGTTGCTAGCATTAATATCCACCAAATAACAATATAAAGATATTATATTCAAGTCAATCAAAAACTATTAGAGGAAATATTTTTTTCCGAAAAAATAATATATATTACATAACATTATGTTATTAATTAAGCATTTTTTACATAACATAACGTTATGTTACACAAAGGATAGTTTTCTACGAATACACCAGCGTATTCGTAGAACGTACCAGCACGTACCCCACTGACCCCGATTGCCATACGTAAAAATCGATAGTACTAATATATTCAAGTTCCTTCTAGCTCTTTCGCGCATGTACTATTCACGAGCTCTTTTTATATTAGTGGCAACTAATGATCCGTGACTACAACTTGCCTTAATGGAATTACGTCATCTATTAGCTCCCGGATAAATGGACTCTTCAATTATGGTGAATTTCTTCGCCCATGGTTTAATCAGTGTCGTTTCTTATAAAATCTTTTCGTACTACCTAATAAATTTTAACCTTCCGCCTTCTTTCTTTATATATTTTAAAGTGAACGTTCTTAGACAGCGATTCAATATTCGCCAATGCACACGTTTACACGCGAAAGCTCATTTCGGTCACGAGAGAACAAGGCGTATATTTTGTATATTGTTAAAAAGAGTACCATGTGTACGCTGGCAAACGCATTTTTTAAATTATTACATTACGTTCCAATATACGATTGCAGCATTATACCTTAAGCATAATTAATTTATTCCTTTACACTAAAATATTAAAATAATAATTGAATTTTCTGTCCTAAACTTCAATTTTTACCATATTCTGAATTCATAGAATAAAGACAACACTGCTATACGTTATATTATTTTATAGCGAGGAACTGCAATAAAACGCGTAACGCGCATTAAATCCTTATCTAGGCAAGGTTGTGGTCTAGCCAAATTCTTTTTCAAACAATTTATGGATAAATAAATTACCTAAACGCACGACAAAGCGTAGTTAGGGGGATTAGATTTTCCGGCAACAGACTTTTCTAGCCCTGACTTGCTAGAGTTATTACTTACATTGCCTAATCTATCCGTATAACAAATATCCCTTGCCTACCACTGCTGTCAGTTCTTATTCTACTTTTCTTTTCGACATACTTTCAATTATTTCATTTAATCCCCGAAGTGGCGATAGGCTTGGGTATGTTAGGGATAGATAGGACAAATTATAGTCTAGTAGCTAAATGTAGGTGTTTAAAACATATCCGCCTTCACAAATCTTGTTCATCTTGAATATGAATTCTAAAATTATGTTCAGGTAAACACATTTACGATCAGATGTTTCGTATGATACCTTGAAACCTTAACTAACTACAAATGATTTTATAAACTTTATAACAGCCAGTTTGACAATAGTCATTCCCTTCCTTCACCTACACTTTAGATATTACGTAATATCTTTTGTCCTTAAAAATAGTCTTAGTTAGAAACTAGAAAGTTTGATTTAATTTTATATCCTAAACCAATAAATCCTAATACAATAAATTACAGTAATACAATAAATTACAGTTTCAAAAATGACGACCAAGAGCTGTCTCACACTTATTTGCATGCAAACATGCAAAATAAGTACTGAAAATTCTTTGTGCAGCTTGAGTCCATATTAAAGAAGCCAGCCTATGAAGTGATATTTATTTGCGAGGAGGTTCATGTGTAATGTAACCCGACTGGTTAGTTTAAAAAAAGAATGTGACTAGACCAAAATACAGATTATATAAAAAAGTACACTAAGAAAATGCACAACAATGAAAAATAAAAAATGGGGTTTGAGCAGAATAAATGAGTTCATAAAAATTGTAAGTGCACATAATAAAAATATTTAAAGTTAATTTTTGTCTAATAAAAATATTTAAAGTGATTTTTGTCTAATTTCATCTAAAAACACAAAAGAAATTTAAAAATTAAATCATAATAAAAACAATTGTTGCCAAAAATACACCTCATTTAAATTATGTGTTGTTTGACTTATTACTTAATGTTAATATTTTTTTCTGTTCGGGAAAAAAACTCCTGATTCAAACGAGGAATTAAAAATAATAAAAGTGAACCTGTTTTAAATTACGAAAACTTTTAATGAAATGTGCTCAAAAGCCATGAAAAAATTTTGTGACGAAAAAAGCGTGAATCTGAAATTGTTCATAATACAATTTTGTAGTGCTTATTTGTAAATTTCCCTGTGTATAAATAAATAAGGCATAAATTCCAAATTCATGATGCACCAAACTTATTCCAGTTGCAATAAAAAAAAAAGTATTTTTATGGTGAAGTATTGTTGCTGATGATTTTATTGAATGTGATTAAAAAATACTGTTAGAGGTTGCATTGAAATGTACCTTATATATTTCTAAAATTGGGTGAATATTAAAGTTGTCTATGCTTTTTAATTCTTTTAAAAATGGTTATGAAAAATCTTAACTCAATCTTTAAAATAAAAATATAGCTTATTTTAAATGTAAATATGACTAGTGGAAATATATTCATATAATATATATTTCTTAATACAAAAAAACTCATAAGTAACAACACATCATCCAAACTGAATGAAAAAAAGCAAAAGGAAATTGCTTCAACTCATTATTTCCGCCAACCCCTCGTACCTATTATACCTAGAATTATCATCATCATCTTTTCCTTCAGCCTTTGGTTCAGCAATTTCTGCAGTTTCAGTGGTAGGCGGTTGTTCTGGTTGCTCAGCAGGGGCGGGTTCATTTTTCCTAAGACCTGGGATAGGAATCCCTGAACCAAGCCAACCGGTCATTTGTGACTTGACATTGGTGATAAGGTCCAATTTGCTGCCTCCTTTTGTGGGACTGTAGACAAGAAAAGATGTTAGAACACAGGAAAATGTTATATAATACATGTAATCAGTATCCCATTTCAATCCACCCGTACCCGTAGTAGTCTTTTTTTAGTAACAAAATTTCATGTTCTTCTTTCAAAAAGTTAGATTGGCTCATGTAGTTTTCGAAAATCTTTTTCCAAATTTGAAATTATAAAAAGTAAACTGGATTCCAATAAGGCTTCTATAAAAAAGTAGCTGACCTAGATTTTAAGTTTTTGGTTTGATCAATATTTCAAGGAAGTTCATGAAGTAGTTCATTATAAATTTCGTCATAAAAACCTATCGCAACTCAAGAGGTAGAATTGTTAATTAAACTGCAGAAATGATTTAGGTTAAACAGTTTATTCATACAATCAATAGATGAAATCATTCTTCAGAGTTTGTCCGCAGAGTTTTAATCATTACGGCATTAATTTAATCTAAGTCGGATGAATTTAATCTAAGATCCACTAGATAAAACACCTTCAAGGAAAATGTAAACAAAGAATATACTTTACCTTTGTTTTTCGGCTTCAGCTGCGGCAGCTTCAGCGATCGCCTCTTTAGTAGGGGTTGGGACTTCTTCATCTTGAGGCTCACCTTTAGCTGCCCCCATCCACGAACTGACCTGATTAGTGAGTCCTGAAAACATTTTCACTGGCACTAGCTAATCAAACAACTACACAACACAATCACTCAGCGACTTCACAATGCTACGACAGTTTCGCACATGACCCACGACACGGACGGTCTGCTATGCGGCTGTAGAAAGCGTGATCAGCTGAAAAACTAAATGGAAAACCACAATCGACCAGGGAAAACGAGTAAGAATCCACTGCGCATGAAAACTTGCGCTCCTGCGCTATTTACCCCATGTACACATATGACTCAAATATCAACAGCAAATTTATATCTAACTGTCTTGAAGTTATGGTCGAAATTACAACAACCTCTATCACATATCTCTTTCTAACTGTGTGATTTTACTCTAAACAGTAACGTCAGAATTATATGTCAATAAATTGTCAATAGGACAGAAAAATAATAAAATAAAAGGATGAAATGAAACGTTAAATCGTTCATCAATCTTGATGATAGTAAATTATCAAATAAATTAATTTAAAAGAAAATCCTTTAAGTATTATTCTTCTGTCTGATATCTTGTCTCTGTCATTCTTTTCACAATTTTGGAAGTTTGGCACATTTTCGAAAATCCAAAATGAAGTCGGTTAAAAATAAAATAGATTGAGCAAAATAAATTTAAAGTGTAATGAATTAAATTCTGATAACTAGTAATGACACAAGATAATAGAAATAAATTAAACCTTTATCATTTCATAGTACGAGTATACAGTTTGTAGAAAATATAAAATATTTTCAGAGACACGTTTCTTTCGATTAAAAACAGTCATAAATAACGTAGCTACGTAAAACGGAATACAGATCCGTGGTGTATTTATTTTTTATCTGTGAAGAAAATTGGCTTATATTAAAAAAAACAACTTGACAATTTCTGATATATTCACAATTTTTGTTTGCAGTGAGTTTTTACAACAATTCTTGTGTTTTATTTAACAAATGTAGCAATCCGTGGTCTTGGAGATATAAAATTAAGGTAGTGCCTACAAGAAGCAGCGGCGGTGAGCAAATTTTCAACATGACTGAAACACGAAGAATTCAGCTTCACCTTGGGAAATGCATAGAGGATTTGGACAAATTACACAATGTACCCGATTTGAAGTCAAAAAGAGCAACCCTGTAAGCGCCTCTCCTTTTTTTCCAATAAGAAACATAATTGAATTATCAAATACCGCTTTCATTTGGCGTTTTCTTTGCAGGTTATGCAAAACAGCTCTAAAATTGTTCGAAAGTGCAGAAGAGGCTCGTGAAAAAGGAGATGAAGAATACTCTTACGTTTATTATATGAAGTATCTTCGAGTTGTTGCATATATAAGTAAAGACAAGGAGTATTTGAAGGATAAGTCTTACTTCAACAACATGTTAGGTGCTAAGAACCCAAACAAAGCCATTGATGCAGCTGAAAAATTGAAGAATAGCCTCATTGAAAGGTTGGATTTAGATTTATTATTATTTATTACTATAAAAACTACTGATACAGCATTTTTAATATGTGTATCTGATAAGATTGAGTCAGTTTAAAGATATAAGATCAGTTTCTTTTAGAATTAAATATACTCATTTTCATGAATTACTTTTTACTATAAACTGATAGTTATTTTCATTATTTAATGTTAGTGAAGATAATTTTATAACTTATTCATAGATATATAAGACATTGCTATAAAATGAAATTTCTTTGTCAATACAGCTTTGTTATTTCTTATCATGAACTCTTATGTAGAATGATAATTCTTCTTAATATTAATTTCTAAGAGTTCATGTATAATGCTATATTTTTATGGCATTAGTTCTGTAGCATGATTTAAGATGACTGATTGACTTACTTAAAGGAACACAAACAATTATTTGTAGTATAGTATTGTAATAATGTCTTAAGAACTAATGATAATAACCTCACACATCTCACACACGGCTGTCTGATCTCAAACTAGGCAGATCCTATACTATGGTAACCAGACTGCTGATAAACATACTTATATATTTCTAAACACATACATATTATAGATAAATTACATCCAGATACAGAACAAATGATTGTGCTCATCATACAAATATTTGTGCTGCTTATCAGTCACTAACCAGTAGACTAACAGGCCCATCAAAATAATAATATGCGTAATATTTTGATCTAGTACACACAAAAATAATGAGTCCACAGCTTCTGCCATTATCACCTTGAGAGACCACATCATCACTACCTTGAGAGATTTTAAGAGTTTAAAGTTGACACAAACCCTATACCAACCTGTCTGGCCAGTGTGGTATAGTAGGCCAAAACCTCCATTCTTAGGGGAGGCCTATGTCCAGCAGTGGACTGTTAAAGGCTGTTGATGATGATGATGATATAATTTCTATCATTGATGACTTTTAACCCCTATTAGTGATCGTAACTGTTAAACTAGAAGTCTTTTTATGGCAGAGGGGGCAAACGAACAGACGTGTCCCCTAAAGGTAAGTGACTATCACCAAAACCCCTAGAAGTTGCGTTTGATTTGTCAGGACAAATAGTTGTATGATGAGCATGATTTTTTGTTTTGAGTCTGAGTGTAGTTTATAAAAGAGCGTACCCTTTCGTGTAAAAGGCTGGCCACCCGTTTGTGACTCCTGAGTTGCAGGCGTTCATGGGCGGCAGTAGTCACTTTCCATCAGGTGAAAAAATATCTAAAAGATGTATTTAGAAAAACATGAATATATTTAACAGCAATCTGGTTACCAGAGTACAGGCTCTGCCCTTTTTTTTTGGGATTGCCTTCTAAATAAGGTAGCGTTTTATGAGACCTGTAGGATCAAGTGGTTGTGTGTGTAATGTGTTAAGTTACTCTTAATCATCAATTGTGAGCTCATTTTTTTCATTAATGTGCATGTCAATTAGTAATTTTACTTTAAATCATGTCACATGACATGACATGGACTGACCATGTCAGTCAGAGAAACATTTGTCTATACTTCTAAACAAAGGTAATAAAGCTGAAGAGTTGTCTTTGTAATGACATGCTTATCTCATAAACTGTCAGTCAGATTTGAATAATTCTTTGTGTATTACATAGAGAATACATTGAGGAAGGTATTGATTATAACATATTGATATAGCTCTTAGGCAGTGTGATGTGCAAAGCAGTGACATTATCATCAACAGCGTTTAGTAGTCCACTGCTGGACATAGACCTCTCCTTAGAAAGAAGGTTTTATCCTACTATGCCACGCTGGCCAGACGATTTGGTATATTAGGTTTGAGTCAAGTTTTCCTTCTCTTTGCAGTGCTGTTGTCCTGCATGCGTTATGCTCCCTTAATCGGCTCTTACAACACCCACTGAATGAATAAGAAGCGGTGTCTCTCCGTATTCTAAATCTGTCACCACTCGGATAAGCAGTCACAGCGTTTTGTATTTTATAGTGTATGGAAAAATTGTTCAATCAATAATTTCATGTCTATGAAAAATTTTCAGATATGCCAAAGAGCAAAAAACCAAGCGTCTAAATGATATAAAGGAGAATGAGATGATTAAGCAAAAAATAGAAGAAAATAGGAAGAAAGCAACAGAAACAGTAGCCGTTAACGAACCGACACCAGGTCTGCCAAGTAAGTGTGATTCACAGTTTAAAGGTTTTATATGTGACTGAGACAAAACCTGAAAATTTAAAAAATAAACTTATTGTTAGAATGAAAAGCATCACATCACCAGGCATTAATAGTCCACTGCTGGACATATGCCTCTTCTTAGAAAGGAGGTTTCGGCGTACTATACTTCGCTGGCCAGACGGGTTGCTATGGGTTTGTTTCAAGTTTTCCTTTTCTTTGCAGTGCTGTTGTCTTGTGTAGTTTGCTCCCTTAGTCGGTTCCAAAGACACCCACGAAATAAATAGAGCCGGTGACACTTCATATTCGTCATCTGTCACCACACGGACAATGAAAAGAATGTCATTTGTTAAAAATAACAAACCAGTAAACCAATAAGGTTTACTGGTTTGTCGGTCTAATAGTTGTGGTCCTAACTGCTGACCCTGCAGTTGTGATTTAAATGGGCAGTTTAGGATCAGACTGCCATTTATTTTGAGTCAAGTCATTATTATAATTAAAAAATTCAAGAGTGAATCGAAGTGTTCAAAAGGATCATGACCTCCCTTTTCTCCATGTAGTCCTTCCGATGGTCGCCCACCGGGGTTCGGGGGCGGTTGTCAGAATCGTACAGACTTAAACAACACGGTATCACACTGTGACTGATAATAGAACACTTGTTATTAAGACATTTGGAATCATGACTGTGCTGAAAATGTAGGTTTCAAAATTTCAAGGATTATTTGTATAAAATAGCTAGTAACGTAGAACAGAACCCTACAATGCATGTGGCCTGAAACAGTTTGTTCCAGCCCTTATTTCTGTTATAGCCACTATTTCACAGTTACTTCATCTTTTACTAAACTATAATAATATATCATATATAATTTTTTCATATCTTTCTCCAGGTCTTGATGAAGTTACCATCAAAAGTGAGCAGCTGTACTCCATACTGAAGAGTGGCAAGCTGAAGGTGATGATACTAGACACCAGGTCGGCGAAGGACTATATAGAGTCTCATATCAACTATCCAGGTTGTATCAGTGTGCCGGAGGAATGCATATCTCCTGGGTAAGAGGACTCTCTTTTATTATAATATTCTTAAAATTATAATAATATTTCCTGGTATGCCAGTTCCAGCCTCTGCCTTAGGGCACAAAATAATCAGAAGAAAGTTCAGAAGTCAACCTCATGTGCCTCACTTTTCATACTTGACCGATGTGGAAGCAATTCTTTCGTTGCCTTTCACTGAGTGAGTGAGGTTACCAGACCCTAAATTCCCTCTCCCGCTTATTCTAGCGAGAGGGACTCCAAGGGCGGCAACGCACTTGTGAGTTGCAAGTGTCCATGGGCGGTGGTAGTTGCTTACCATCAGGTGTCTGCTCGTTTGCCCCCATATACCATAAAAAAACACGCTTGGCGGTCGCACCAGGCTAACTCTGGCATATGCGAAAAAACTAACGTGTGGCACTCGCATTTAGTTCTTTGATTGATTTTTGGGAATATCACAGGAAGAACGGAAAGATAAACCAATAATAACCAAAATAATTGGCCCGATAAAACGATAGGCCCGCACTGAGAACTCAACCAATTGCAACGCTAAACGTGTTCTCCGTCGAGAGCAAGTCGGTGTGAAATAAACTCTGCACTCAGCCCTCTGTACACTGATTATTTTGTGCTTAGGGTAAGCAAATAAATCTATACAAATAAATAAAATTAGAGTGTCCGTTTGTAAAATTAAAATAACCGCTTTTTACTAAATGCATATGTATGTATACACGGTACATATGCCAAAAAACCATTTATTTCAATTTTTGTCTGTCTATCTGTCTGTTTGTTCCGGGTAATCTCTGGAACGGCTGGACCGATTTCGACGGGACTTTCACTGGCAGATAGCTGATGACATAAGGAGTAACTTAGGCTACTTTTTTTAGACCAGCTTCGCCCCGCGGCGTTGCCCGCGGTTATAACAACAAACGCGGGTAACAACAGAAATGATAGTCAACCATCACTGATTTTAATGATAGGTGTGGACAGCTGATTTATACTGAAGTTCGAGTTGGGTTTGATGAAACAAAAATTACTGATAGTATAATCATTATCATATTTTATTACTTTTCTGAAATTCTAACTTTATTTGACCAAAATTAGATATTTAAAATATCTAATAAAGTTACCACTATTTATAAACAGTTTCGTTATGAAGTGGTCAAACAGTATCTACTAAATAAAACCTTTGATCACTTAACATTTCAAGTAGCCCTCAACATCGACTGTCGTTTCGAGGTCCTGCCCCCTCTGACATAGTAAAAAAAAATAAAAAAGTCTGTATCCAATTTCACGGATCAAGACACCAATAATTCTATCTGTACATGTGGATATGCACATTCAACGATCATATCTTCAGATATGCATTTATAACAAATTATACTGGTCGCTGGTTCAAATCAGGCTCGAAGGACCAAAGCTGTTAAAGTCTCGGTGTTGGTAGACAAAAAAGAGGACCATACAAAAAGAGCAGTGATCCTAATCGAGTATATAAGACGAGTGTATGTAATAGCAATCCTAGTGGGGGCCATTGCACCCGCGCCCCCACTTCTCCACCTCCCATCACCTGCGTCGCGGCATTCGCTAGTGGTTTAGCCGTTTAAAAGCACCGGCCCACCGTGATGTCGAGGATCGAGGGTTGATTCTCGACACTACATGTTACATTGAATTACTGCTTGTTACAGACAATCGGCCAACACCCTGGAGCAGACCCTGCCACCTGCCTCTAGGCCCGTGTGGACCGAGCGAGCAAGCATGGAACTGATCGTGTTGCTGGACTGGAGCAGCACTGCTGCTATACCTGGCAAGACCCTGTACCTACTCAAGACTATACTGCTTAAGGTAACCCCAATAAGCATTAGTTATAATAACATTAACTCTTTGTTTATGTTTAAAAACCCCCTCGTATCATCATCTCACAGACTCGAACCGACTAAAACCGCAACTAGCCATTGTTTTTTTTATGGTGTAGGGGAGCAAACAAGCACCTGAAGGCCAAAGGCGACTGCACGGATGGCGAAGTGCTTTAAGCGGTCACTGAGTCTGGGTGTTCTTTGTGTCCGTTTCATGAATGTTTGTAGAAAGGTTTATAAATCTGGTGCGGGAGTTGTCTTTTTAAGTAAGTAAGTAATTTGGTCTCAATTCTCAATCTCACAACTGTCATAAAAGTTGTTTTCTTAAGATAGTAGTAAACATCCAAAGTTGACTGTAATGTGATTATATCGTATAGTGACCGAAAATTGAATCGGTAATCTGCTAGTTTTAGTAATACTTAACTACGAAAACACCATTTATGACAGTACAGATGGCAAGTGTCAGCCGCCGCCCATTGACACCTGCAACTCCCGAGTCACAAGTGTCCGCCCTTTGACTCTCCTCCCCCATAGTATCAGGACTACAAACCTCCCTCCCCCTAGTGGGGGGTCTGGTAACCACACTAAATCGACAAAATGCAATGAATTAATTACTTAACTGCGGTTTTCTGTGAGTCACTCCTGATCGTCAGGTCTTTTGTCTGCCACCTCAAATGTCTGCCAATCTAGAAAGAGAATCACTGCGAATATAAAAGGCATGCTAAAGTAAATATCATCTCTATTTACTTTAGCTTTAAATAAAAGCTGTCATTACATTGCACTTGAACTGCAGTTTTTTTTTTGTAAACAGTGGGATGTCAATATCCGGTACCCTCGCCCCCCACTGGCTCTGCACGGTGGGTACGAGGACTGGCTGCTCAAGTATCCAGCCTTCACCACCAATCCTCAGGCGATGCCACCCCGGCAAGACGAGTTCATGGATGACATGTTAGGTAAGTTAATTTATTAAGAACATAGATTGGGGTCAGACGGCTGTGCGAAAAGGGTGAGGTTATTATTATCTTTGGTAATTATACAGCACAAAGGAATACCTATTTGAGGTGTAAATCTTTTTCATAATGATGTGTTATTCAGCCATGGACTGATGTAATATTAAAAAATTAAAAAAAAAATTTTTATGGGTGTGGGTCTGCGGTTATAAACAAACAAAACTAACTGGTGGCATCACAAATACTAACAAAGTAACAAACTAACAACTCGTGCGCCAGATACCACCTTAAAAGAACACAGAACCAACCACAAAAACAATAAATGCCTCGGACAACTCGGTCAGCGCTAGACCTTTAATCTAGGACGGGGGGCAGCTAATAAATACAAAGATGTTAAGTACTAGTGGCAGTTTATTATCCTGTAGTGTCTGTAGAGTACATGGTATCTTAAGACTCTAATTACAATAGGTAATTCTTAATACTCAAATTAGTACTGTCGTTAATGCAATCCTTTTCAAATAAATGTATAAACCAAACTAAAATTAAATATGATTTAAGAGTCACATAAAGACTTAATAGAAAATGAATCTAAGGGTAGTTGTAGCATCGTCCTACTCCCTTGATAAAAATAACACCCCTTGGGGACTTGCAGTATCCAACGCCACAACGCCAAACAAATTAATAAAAACACATACCAAATGACCTTGGTTCAGTCCGAATGAAATGAAAGCAAACCAACTCCGAAAAACTTCTCACTCCGGTTCCCACGTGGTGGAAGAGGCGGGGTAGCATTCCAAGGCTCCTGATAATGGACTGCAGCTAAACAGCTTTTTCTACCATTATAGGTGCTCCGCAGCAAACTAAACCCTTGGGTCAGGCCGGCAGAGAGGCAAAATCCAAATGTCACGCAATGACATTCCAATCCAATAAGAATTTAAGGTATAAATAGAAAATTTAAATTTAAACAAAAGATTTAGAATTAAACTAAAAAAAAACCCTGATTCATCTGCAACAAATGAGAATTATAGGTTACTTGCCTATCTCAAAAGATGAATCCTAAATCTGGCAAGATACAATAATTTACTCACCAGGGTCCCAAAATGTTTCACAAACTAAGCAGCGGCATTATAAATATTCCCTGTAACCAAACAAACAAAGATTTAGAACAACTAATCTCGACAAGCCAAGTACGAAGCACGTGGCTTAACAAGACTTACCTTTTAATGAAAAATAACAATTCGATCAATATAATTTGAGTCTTTAACGAGGCTGGCCAAACAATACAATAAGAAATATGCCCTCTTTACAACAAAAAGACTACATTTTAAAAATCTAATCCTTCTTCGACCCGGACCAAAGCTAATGTGACGACATAAATGCCTTTTAACAATGACGCGTCCAAATGTTGCCAGAACAAGAAAACTAAATCGATAACTACCATAGACGAACAGCATCGACTATTACTCTCGTCCACCTCGTCCAACGACCATCGGCACTCGCTGAAACGTCATAAAATTCAATTAACAAACCAAAAACACGTCTATGATTCAATTTACTGTAATGGTGCGAAATGCACCGTTACACTGATGAGGATGAAAGCTGTTCAGCATACTTCACAAAATTTCTGGAAGCTTTCGCGTTACTTATATAATAAAAACTGCACAAGACGCGTAGTGGTTTAAGCGGTCGCCACGCCGCTCACCAATACGCTGAGTGTTGTGAGTTCGATCCCCACACGGGGCGACACTTTGTGTGATCCACAAATTGTTGTTCTGAGTCTAGGTGCTCTTTGTGTCTGTTTCTTGTATTTTTTTTTAAGTCCACCGGGACACAGGATATATTCCTAATTCGGGAGTTATCTTAAATATAAAATGACAGTCCAAAGCCAAGCCAAACAAGAATTTTCTAGAAGAGTTCGCGGGCAACTTCGTCGGCGTCTTTCAAAAAATTCCCCCTTTTGTAACATTTCTCAATGATGCTCGTCTCCTTATTGGTCTTAGCGTAATGTTATATATCCTATATCTTTCCTCGATAAGTAGGCTATCCAACACTAAAAGAATTTTAAAATTCGAACAGTAGTTCCTGAGATTACACAAACAAACAATTCAGCTTTAGTTATAATATTAGTATGTGTATGTCCAGCAGTGGACTATTACAGGCTTATGATGATGATGCTGATGTTATGGTGATTAATCACAAAAAATAACCAATTAAGCATAGCCCCTGACCATCATCGGAGAAGGTCGCATTACCTTTTGATTGAGGCCCCCCTTGATTCCTAAAAATATTCAACAATCTTCTAGATACACATATGAGTAAAACCATATTTCCTTTGTGTCAAAATCTGTTCGTTTGTATATGCAGGAGACATCGATTACCCAACCTGGACGGAGCTGTCACCCACCCCCCCTTCTGCACCTGTCGCACCGCGCCAGGTGAAGCCGGGCGAGCCGCTCGTGGACCGGAGCAGTAAGGTAATAAAGAAAAAAATATATTTTGTACTACAAAAAGTAAACATACTTTAATATTCATACATATAAATTAGACAAACTAAACTAAACAAACTAAAAATAAATGCCTAAGTTACTACCCCTTTTGTAATACTGCTAGGAACTGCGGCTCGAAGGACCACGTTCCATCTACATGGGTTAAGTCGAAAACCTTGTTTACTGGAGTAGTTCATGACACCTTTTCCTTGACTGGCCTGTTGGTTTAGTGGTCATGTCCCTGACTACTTTTCGTCAGCAGTATAACTATTATTTTTACAAATACTCTTTTCATAATTTTTTTTATTAGTAACATCTTTGCTCTCACTTTCGGAAAAGGAAAAGGACGGAAAAGGGACGGAAATGTAAGTGGAACAGGAAGTTGAGGAAGAAACTATTGAGGCACCCTAGAGATGACCGGGGTTGTACCACCTTTTTGTTACCAAGATCAGATATTATACCTGTTATTTGACTCATTTTTAATATATTCATTTATATCTTTATTGTATACATACACTTGACACATAAAAAAAGATTTCAAGTTATCCTCTGCGGTATTTCCGGACCGATACTGCCTTCAAACCTTCAAGAAAGAGCGTACTCCTTCCTTGAAGGCCGGCAACGCGTTTGTGACTCCTGAGTTGCAGGCGTTCATAGGCGGTGGTAGTCACTTTCCATCGGGTGACCCGTGAGCTTATTTACCCCTCTTCCTAAACAAGAAGTTTAGTCAACAACAATCGGCGGTCTTATCGCTCACGGTGATCTCTTACAGACAACCTTAACACGGATATTAACTATCTAAAAATATGGAAACAAAAATTCATAAACAAATATATAATCTAATATATAAAATTCTCGTGTCACGGTGTGCGTGGTTGAACTCCTCCGAAACGGCTCGACCGATTTTCGTGAAATTTAGTGTGCATATCGGATAGGTCTGAAAATCGGCCATCTATTTTTCATACCCGTTTTTTTTTGACCAAAAAAATTTGAAATAATGTATATGGCAATACATTATGGCATATAAAAGACTTCGTGATTGCAGGCAGCAGCAGTACAGGTGTATTCAGAACGTGCTCGGAGCATGCAACTCATTCTAGAACAGCAGGAGAAAATCGCTGACAACTCACTGACGTTAGAGATGCAGAGGATTGAAGCTGAGCAGGTACGTAACAGCATCATCACATCAACAGCCTTTAATAGTCTACTACTGAACGTAGGCCCTTCCTTAATAAGGTTTTGGCCTTCTATACCACGGTGGCCAAGTGTTGGTATAGGGTTTGTGTCAAGTTTTCCTTTTCTTTGCAGTGCTGTTGTCCTGCGTAGTTTGCTCCCTTAGTCGGCTCTTACGACACCCACGGGATGAATAGGGTGTAACCACACACACGTAATAGCACTATTCTGAAAATGTAATTGTGTTTAGAAAAATGAAATAAGTTCAAAAGCACTCTTATCAAGTTTTCATCATCATTAGGACTAATGCAGAAAATAAAACTAAATCTTTATAGTTTACAGTTTTTACTACTTTTTTTCCCAAGCAACTAAATCAGCTTTTATTGAGATGTAACAAAACTATAAGAAACTTAGCAGCTGAAAATCAATCCATCAAATCTATAAATATTCTTAGAACTGTATTCTTTTCCGTCTCACCCAATAAACACTTTTTTGCACGGAGATTTTTCGAACCCATTCTTTTTTATACAACTTTGTAAACATTGGATAGGCCTGTTGGTTTAGTGGTTAGTAATCCTGACTGCTAAGACAGAGCACATGGGTTCGGTTGTGGTCAAATAATTGTGTGATCAGCACAACCGTTTACACTATGTGATTATATGGGTGTAATTTATCCAAAATATGTATGTGTATAGAAATATATAAGTACATATGTTTATCAGTAGTCTGGTTACCATAGAACAAGCTCTGCCTAGTTTAGGATCAGACAGCCGTGTGGAAGATGCCTGAGGTTATTATTAATATAAAATTTTATCTTTCACCCAAATATTGTCGTGAAACGAATTACCGGAAAAAATGCAGCCTTTTTTAAAGGACACGCATTCAGCAGTTGCTCTTTTTTTAATATAGAGAGATTAATATATGTTATGTTGTCAGGACTGGAAGAAAATCCGTCTCCAACGCGAATCAGAAGATCAGGAGGATTTACGATCGTGTTTCAAGCTCAGGGAACAGGAGATCCTCTCTCAGCTCATGCAGATGGAGAATAAGCAGTACGATATGGTCAGTTAACATTAAATATATTCGAAAATATATTTTTTTTATAATTGTTTGTCATATAAGTGTGTTACTCACAATAGGAACAAGAGAACATGACCCTCCGCGAACAACTAGAGGAGTACCAGAGACGGGAGCGAGAGGAAGCGGAGAAACTCGCGGAGAGCATCGCTGATGAGACCTCAGGGGCTGCTGATTTTGGAGGTAATCAGACTGAAAGTTTTATTATATTTTTTATCTTATACATATATATATATTATAGTATTTATCATTATTTCTTGACTGTATTTATCTTCAGTTGGAGCACGGGACTATGTAATATAGTCCCTGTGCTTCACCTTGGAACCTTGGTGAAGTATGGGTCTGTCTGTTCTCGCATTGAGAATGTCTCCAAAGTTAAATGTAATGAAGTAACGTCGTTAGGAATGTTACTTGTTTATATTAACTGTTTATGTAGTTTTTGATTGTTTATCTTTTACTGCCGTAGAGTGATTATGAAAAATTAGCGATTTTTTTCCCTGAAAACTAATAAAGCTAGAAATATGCAAACCGTAGATAATACATGAAATATTACGTATATCTAGTATATTTATTTATAGATTAGGTGTTGATACCATAGATATATAAGCATAGAGTGAACAAGAGCTTCAGTCTTGCAATATAGGTAACAAGAGATGGATAATTATTTAAATCTTTAAGAAAAAGCGTATTCCTTCCTTAAAGGCTGGCAACGCGATTGTGTCTCCTGAGTTGAAGGCGTTCATGGGTGGTGGTAGTTGCTTTCCATCACTTGACCTGTCTGCTTGTTTGCCTTCTATCCAAAAAAAAAAACAATAGTTTTTTCTATCTTTTTCTAATCGCGCTCTGTGGTTGGCTGAGGAAATGTTTATTTTCCTGCCTGTTCTACGATCAAATGACACTGCATGATCGCCAATCGTATCTTCGCTAAACAGAGACAGAGGGAACTATCCATTATCCATCTCTGTCGTCCATATCGCTTCCACTATGCTTATATCAGTACGGTGGAGAGGAAGGAGTGTAGTAACGTGTGTGTCCGTGTGGTCCAGCGGAGCGCGCGCGGCTGTCGGCGGAGGCGGGGGCGGCGCGCGCGCGCATCGCGGCCGCCACGCACCGGCGCGAGCAGCTCGACGTCACGCGCGAGGCGCTCGAGGCCGAGCGCAAGCGTCAGCTCGCCCTGGCGCGAGAGAAGCGCAAGCCCGCGCCCGACCGCGCCGCCCCGGGGGTACGTCATACTGTAGTCCATCTACGTGCGGGGTGACAGACGGTGGCGGGGACGAGGTAGGAGCGGGTGGTGTAGCTCGCCCCCGCCACTGTCTGTTACCCCGCGAGACGGTCGCCCACGAGATTGCCGGGTTATAACCTTACTACAACGCTGACTCTTGTGGGTTCGATCACCACACGGGACGACTGACTTGTTGTTCTGAGTCTGGGTGTTCTTTGTGTCCGTTTCATGTATGTTTATAAAGTCCCCGACGACACATGACATATTTCTAATACAATAGTTATCTTTAAAAAAAACGCACTCTACATACATACCATCAGTTAATACATAAAAGCACACACATTATTCTTATCGTTACTAACTGTGTTCGCGACTTTTCACAAATTTAACCGTAATTTATTTTAATCATTAAAATTAAATTCCATCAATTCCTCTCATTATCATCTCAATAGACTTGTGTCCACTAATAACAAATTGCTGACTAAGCAATTTGTTATTAGTGGACACAAATGATTATCATATCACATATGATTTCAAATTATAAATAAAAAGACAAATAAGAAAAAACCAGTCTATTTCTCATAAAAGTTAAAAATTACTAATATTTAAAAACAAAATCAATCGAAATAGGCACTAAGTCACGTGACAACGAACTCCAATCAGAAAGTGTTACGTCACACCACGTAAAACATCATTGTTGTTGTTGACGTTTTCATACAACAAAGCAGGTTACTCCTTATTATTTTTAATTTTTAGCGTATTTTCTTACCTTAATACAGTTTTGTTTCGCAGACTGTGACGTCATTCAAGACGCCATGACACTTATTCATCAGTTTCAAGGGAAATTTAAATTGTTTTTATTTTAATACAAAATACGTAATGTAAATATTGCTTTTTCTTTACAATAAAAATTTTTTGGAATAAAATAGATATTAAAGTATCTAATTAACCAAGTTTTCAAATTGAGTCAATTAGGCCATTATCCTCTTCTAAAAACACTAAAGAAGATAAAACTCTACATTCATTTCGAAATGCATCCTCACAAATAACCTACTCACGCAGGATGAAGATGGCGACACGTACATGATGTCTCCAGACAACCCTGGCGCTACAGGACTTAACCGATCTCACTCATCGCCTAACATCGCTAAGGTGTGTACATAACTAATTATTAATCACCAGAAATATGTTTTCACCCATGTTTACAGTCTGCTCCGCTCCCAAAGATCATAGCGTGATCTGTATCAACAGCCTTTAATAGTCCACTGCTGGACATATGCCTCTCCTTAGAAAGAAGGGTTTGGCCTACTATACCACGCTGGCCAGACGGATTGGTATAGGGTTTGTGTCAAGTTTCTTTGCGTAGTTTGCTCCCTTAGTCGGCTCTTACGACACCCGCGGGATGAATAGGGGTGGTGACATTCCGTATTCTTAATCCCTCACCACACGGAAAGGATCTTATGTAGCTTTACTCTTCCTAAAAAATAAGGGGAAAAATTTGAAAATGTATTTTTTTTAATTTGACGATGATGCTTCGACAGGTAACAAACTATATATTCCTCTATATATACGTACATAGACATATAAGTGATAATGTATAGTGTGTAGACAGAGAAAAAATATTGTTTTGGTCTTTCATCTCTGTTTTACTCTCTGCACTAATTGGCTGATATTGAAGAGGGCATTAAAAATAGCCAATCAGTGACAACAGCAGAGAGAGATTTTACATCTGCTCAGTTTGATATTAGTTGAGCAGTTGGGAATCAACATTAGGTCTCAATGCTTTACTAGTTGAGCAGTAGAGCTAGAGGATATCTTTTTTTAATTTTAATACCGCCGTTTATAGTTTAAATAAGAATACGTCCACGTTTGCTATGTTTGCCTGTCCTTCATCCAAGCGTTTGTAAAGGCTTGGAGCTTGTGGACGTTTTGCCAAGTCTTGGCACGCGTGTAAACTTGGCATTAAGATACAGGTATCTATGGGAGACAGCACCTCAATCAGGTCTGTTCATTTGCAACCTATTTTATAAGAAAAAAAATTTTTAAAAACAAAAAAAACACGCTTTTTATAGAAAACCAAAGTAAAAGTTAAATTTATTTTATTATAATTTTATAGAAAACCAAATTAAAATTTATTTTCTATTTTTAGTTTGGGTTTCTATAAAAAGCGTGTTTTTTAGTTTTTTTTAAATATTTTATTTTATTTTAAATTAGTGTATTGTCATCGGTCCTCGATATATCTACAAAGTTTGAACGAATTCTGAATGTTTAAAATCAGTAAAAATCTGTGATTTTGACTGACTATGTTTGTGTTGTTGCAAAAAAAGAACACTAAAGACAGGAGTAAAACTGTAAGAAAAGAAGTCACCAAGAGATCACGATCTGGGCCTAGTTTTAAGGGGTATTAAGAGCAGTGGATGATGAAATGCTGTTTCTCAACTTCCAATGTTTTTCCTAATTAATTTTGGTTTTATTATAGTTTCTATGTGTCTTTCTAACAGGTGTCTTCTGACGAGGAAGAACCATGCGTACCGATGTTTGACCGAAGCACGAAACCGAGTAAAATGGCACCGTCCACTGATTTGCACCAGAGGGACTTCCAACCTGTGTGGGGAGACGTGGTGAGTACCATTGTATGAATACCCTCAGAGCCTTTTTCCAAACTACCTTGGGTTCAGCTTACAGTCTATTATAATACGGCTTATTATTAACGTGGAGCAACTAACTGCCATCACCTCAGACCAAAGAAAGACTTGTCGGACGTTTTTTTTAAGTCCAACTCCAAATACCCGTAACGATTGCCAGTGATGTTCGTATGGCAACCAGGACCAAAGGCTTAATATGCTCCGAGGTAAGGAGGAATCTCAATGTCTTAATAATGGTCACCCATCTATAGACTGACCTGGCTAGGATTGCTTAACTTTGCAATATGTTAATCAACTCGGTTACAGCTTAGCTGGTGGGTATATATATAAATATACATATGCACCCTTTTTTCCTTGTTTTTCTGTACGGAATTCCCCACGGCCACCGTGGTGGTAATGTCAGACTCTAATAGTTTAAAAACCGCATGCTGTCTCGGTTACCAGTAGCCAGGGGACCAGGTGTAACCTAGAAAGGAATATAATATATTCTATATAATATATTCTATATAATATATTCTACCACATACACACAACGCCATCTAGTCCCAAACTAAGCAGAGCTTGTACTATGGCTACTAGACAACTGATATAAATACATAAATACTTTTTTTTTGTAAATACATACATATTATACATAGAAACACCCAGACCAAATCAAACATCAAATGTTCATGCACACAAATGTTTGACTTGAGCGGGAATCGAACCCGCGACCTTTGGAATAGCAGTCCGTTACACAAACCACTACGCCATCCAGTCGTCACACTTATTGAGTAGCAGATAAGTGCGTGTCACACTTATTGAGTGCAACCGTTCTGAGTTAGAGGTTGACGCTGAGGTAATATCACCCACTCGGTGAAAACCAACGAAAGAACTTCTTCACATAGGTTTTCTATGAAACCCTGGTATCACTCCGATCAAGGCGGCCCATTTGTGCCGAAGTATCACCCACGATATTTAAAATCTGAATTCGTAAATTTCCTTATGTCGTCGTTCTCCTACTGTAATTTAATTTCTTTCTCGTAATTGTTCTGAAGTAGAGTAATATAGAATTTAAGTAAATTAGTGACATTCGAACTAATGAGTTAGTTAAATCCTGGTATGGACATGAGACATTCCGTGTGGTGACGGATTTTCACCACCACCACCCCTATTCATACCGTGGGTGTCGTAAGAGCCGACTAAGGGAGCAAACTACGCATGACAATAGCACTGTAAAGAGAAGGAAAACTTGAAACAAACCATATACCTACCCGTCTGGCCAGCCCATGGTATAGTAGGCATAAACCTCCCAAGTGTAGCAGTGGAAAACTAGAGGCTGTTAATCATGATGATGATGGACATGTCATGCGTAGAGGGGAGCGAAATGTAGTGAAGAAAGTGGTTGACGGACTAGAGGACAACCAAAGAAACAATGGCGGAACTGCGTAAAATAGAATATGGCTAGAAAGAGAGTAGGCAGTGAACTGACGAGTGATAGAGAATACTATTTCTTTAGCTTCGATTTGTAGTAGTATTTGTATAGTAATCTGATAATAGTGTTTATATTTTATTATTTAAACTGGTGTAAAACTTGTTGTCATAAATGGTATAGGTATAATTAGGTGATGTAATCAGGGAAGAGCGCTGATGTCTGGGATACAGATTTCTTATCTAGTCCAGGCACAAATGCCCTAATTTAAATGTATCATGTACCCACAATAATATTTGTAAAACCATGTACTATGCAAAAACAATGTTTATTGAATAAATTATTATTATTATATTATATTATTAGAGAAGAATGAAAGGAGAAAACTCATAACGCCGACCCCAAATAAATTTGTAAAACGAAGATGATTTGTTAGTTAGTTAAACTTTAAAACGTGATGTGGCAAATAATGATCCGGAAATTATAGTCCATCAACGTCGTGCGCGACCGTCCTGCGGGGTGACAGACGGTGGCGGGGACGAGGTACTCAAGATGTCAGCGGGTAGCGGGTGGTGTAGCGGGGAAGGGAATCGTGCTAGAATGTCTGTCACCCCGCGGGACGGTCGCGCACGAGATTGCCGGGTTATAACCGATATGTAAGTTGTACTACTTCATAAACTGTCAGTGTGTGTGGGTGTGACATGTGTCAAGGCTTCGAATCCCAACGAGTGCACTAATCCCCTCGCTAACTATCAACAAACGTGTTCAATGCTTATGCTAATAAATGCTAATAAGCTAAGCACGATTTACACTTCACATTTAATTCTATACCTTCGTTAATAGATGTAGATGACTGTAAAATACCTATCTTATTAATAATAATAAAAAGATAGATCGACTAGAGCGCCGCGCAGTGATTGTTGATATCGCCGTTCCTCATGACGAGAATCTCGTGAAAGTTGAAAGAGAAAAACAAATCAAATATTTGGATTTATCTCACGAGATTGTCGATATGTGGAATGTCGATTCAGTGATCATTGTTCCGATAGTCGTATCTGCTCACGGCCCAAGAGCCTCGACCAACACCTTAAGAGGCTCACGTTGGACGGCTGGATCAAGGGTCTGATGCAGAAGACAGTCCTCCTTGACACGGCTCGTATAGTGAGGAGGTTCCTATCTTTGGAGTCCTAACCACCGGTGTCTTGGTCCCTGTACCCGATGTCGGTGGTCTACTATTTTTTATATTTTTAAATGTATTTTTTTATAATTTGTTATAAAGTGTATGTTTAAAAATGTAAATTATATGTATATAAAGTAAATAAAGAGAATAATAATAATATAATATTGTACCACATTCACACAACGCCATCTAGTCCCAAACTAAGCAGAGCTTGTACCATGGCTACTAGACAACTGATATAAATACATATATACTTTTTTTTGTAAATATATACATATTATACATAGAAACACCCAGACCAAATCAAATATTAAACGTCATGTACACAAATGTTTGACTTGAGCGGGAATTGAACCCGCGACCTGTGGAATAACAGTCCGTTACTCAAACCACTATGCTATCCGGTCGTCAAAACGATAGACGCGGTACATTTTGTATGAAACACTGATGAGTGACGTCATATCTAGCTAATGTCAAATCATTTATACTTTTTCCCAAACATTTTTTTTTACGTGTGGAAACCCCCTTGGGCCGTCACCCCACCGGGGTTTGCGACGGGTTGGTGTGTCGGAATCGGACCGACTAAAACCACACGGTGTGCCACTCTGCACCTGTTATAGGAGGGATCCGGGAACTGCTGTTATTAAGACATCCGGACCCCTCCTAGCGCCTGCCCACAACGGGCACCAACTTCGGGTACATTCTCCATTTAGGCGACATCCGACTTTTTCCCAAACTAGGTTGGGGTTTTCATTAAGTCTAGTAAGAAAGACTGCTGTCGGACTTTAGGGCTCCAAGTACCCGTAACGATTGCCACAGATGTTCGAATGGCAACCCGGACCGACGGCTTAACGTGTTCTCCGAGGCACGGAGGACAATGTGCGCTGTTGCCGGTATAACAAATCCGTATTTTTTTTAAATAAAATACACATTATAAATTTTAATGAGAGAATTTATCAATCACGATAATTGCAATAAACTTTATTCTTCATCCCTTCTTCTCTAATGTCTGATGATGATTCTTTGATGTTTGGTTCTGTTACTGCTGTCAGGGTACGCAGCACAATTCCCGCCACTTCAGTCTGCTGATCTTGATCAGGATGATTGCCTGCCGCAAAACTTAATTTCTTAATTATCAACATTTAGGGTAGAAATATTATGTACAAATTTAAACACACTGCCCATATCAAATCAAACTTTAAATAATCATCATCATCAACAGCCTTTAATAGTCTACTGCTGGACATAGGCCTCTCCTTAGAAAGGAGGTTTTTGTTTACTATACCACGCTGGCCAGACAGATTGCTATAGGATTTTTTTCAAGTTGGCCTTCTCTTTGCAGTGTTGTTGACCTGCGTAGTTAACTCCCTTAGTCGGCTCTTACGACACCCACGGGATGAATAGGGGTGACGACATTCCGTATTCTTAAACTAGATTATCAGACCACAGTCCATACACAATACAATACAACTTTTGAATATCAGACATTCACAAAACAAGATATTACAATACATGCAGATTAAAAACGATTTTATTTTTGTTGAATAAATATAAATTTATACGGTAGACCATAAAGTTTTTAGTTTGTTTTTGTGTCTTGACAACTTTTTAAATTTATGTCATATTGTCATCCCTTTCTATTGTTTTCTGATAAAATAAAATCGTGTTCGTAACAAAGTAAGAATTCTTACTCGTTATTAATAATTTTACCAAAATAACCAATAGGTTATGGGCCCAGGCACATAATAAGTAAATACTAATAATAATTTCAACAAAAACTCGAGTAAAGAGCAAGATTACTACCGGTGGAAAATTTGCCCGTAGGATAATGGAGGTTACGAACGCGATGAAAATTGAGAAGTTTGATGGAAGAAATTTCAAACAATGGAAGTTTCAAGTCAAATGTGCATTAAGAGCAAAGGGCTTAAACATAGAAAAGGCAAGACCCTTGGAAGCCAGTTCGCAAGTGCAGTGGGATAAAGATGATGGCATGGCCATGTTCATTTTAACATCGTCCATGGATCTTAACCAAATATCTCTTATAGAAAACTGCGAGACTGCTAAAGAAGTTATGACAAAGTTGGAAGCAATCTATGAACAGAAATCAGAATATAACAAGATGTTAATTCATGAAAAGTTTTATCAATATTCATATAGTGCTAGTGATACGATGGCACAGCACGTGTCTAAGGTAGAAGGCTTGGCAAAGGAGCTACGGGAGACAGGTGAGAAGATCAGTGACACAGCAGTAATCACAAAGATTTTAAGCACATTACCATCAACATACCGTTCGCTTAGACAAGCATGGTTGTCACTCGATGAAGATAATCAAACAATTCAAAACCTTACTTCTCGCTTAGTAGATGAAGAAGCTAGCCTTGCCAA